TTGGATTCAGACATTTGGGTAAAACTTGTTCCTGACATTGTCAGCAAAAAGCACCCATTTTATTACTGGGGCTAGAGTCCTGCTAATGTACCAGGCACCTCTGTTGGTGCTACTGGTTTCAGTAGCAGCAACATAGAGTTCTGAAGACAGGATCAGACTCAGGACCTCAGCCCTTGCTCCTGTATGTCAGCACATGGCTATGTGTCTCTCCAAGCAGTTTCTGGTGTTTTCTTTCACGTACTGAAAGGAATGAGCTTTTGTCTTGTGTGCAAGGAGTGATACAGAGTGGCTGTGAAAGTTCTCTTTAATGAGTACAAAGCAGATCCTGCTTTCAGTAATGCCATTTCACCTTCACTGGGATTGAAGTCATTTTGCCTGTTTTACCAGGACTCCATCTTAAGTCTTCATCTTTTCCAGAAATCCAGAGTCTTTGGTAAGATAGGTGACACGAACCATCTTACTTTAACCTTTATAGCAGAAGTGTTATATACAGAGGGACATTACAGTGGGAGAGGAAAAGGCACCAATAAAGTACTGTGGCAGGTGATGTAAGCCCTTACTGAAGTCTGTAGTAGTTTAATGAAAGTAACTCAGACAAAATAAATGTCTGACTCAGAAGCAAGATATGGCTGACCCTGTCTGAATGGGAACTTGATTGCAGTTGACCTACTGCATCATTAAAATGACCGTCTCAAAGGGAAGAGAGAGAATTACATGCTTTCTTTCTGCCTTAAAAGAAAAAAAAAAAGGCAAATAATTCTTAGAAATGTTTAATGTTGGTAAAAATGCATGATAAGTATTTGATGGATTGAATTCATTCCCCTTCTTGTGTGCTGACATCCTACACTGTGCACAGGGAGATTCTACAGAAACGCTGCACAGGATGGGATGTTTCTTTATGGCATTTCCGTGTGCTTTAAATCTCTGAAGAGTTTTCTGTGTGTGTTTTATATTGAGTCATTAAGTACAAAAACAAACTTATTCACAAACCAACTTTGATCTAAGTTTCCTGTGATTTATCTTTGCTGTCTATAGCATGCACTGAAACCCTACCTGATTGTTATTAGCTCCCCAAATATTTATATCATTTCAGATAATCAATGCTTATCACAGTTAATACAGATGTTACAATTTCCTCAAAGAAAGGCACAGTCAGCATAATAACATTTTAATTATTGCAGCATATGTTTTTCAAATAGGCCTTTTGTTTACAGTATCAATTAAACAGAGTAGCTGTATATATCTGGTTAATAGATAGTGTTAAAAAATATTGTACATGTAAATTACAGCTTTTCACACTAAATATATATGAAGCAATAAGGCATGTCTTGGAGGTATTAATGTTCACTTAATTTAAATCATGTTGCTAGTGCTGTTTTCTGTTCCCATTCCCTTGCGTTTGCGTTCTCTACAGGATGTTTTTCATTCAACTGCTGTGTAATACAAATTTGCTTATGGGGGTTTGGTGATATAAACCATCTGACTGGCACCAGTACGTTAGTTATTCTACATATAACTGATAACACAAATGTAATATTTGGAAAAGTAGAGATGGCAGCATCTCCTGGTTAGAAAGACTTGTAAGACATGTTTTTCATTATTGAGTGTGGTGTGAATTCGTGGGGAAGTTTAGTAGAGAACATGCTGAGCCCCTCTGTCCCTCATCTTCCTGGCTTTATGGAGCCTTTTACTCCTTGCATCTTATTGAAGCTATCTAAAGAGAATGAAGTATTTCTTTAAAATATATATAAATAAAATTAAAGTATGAATGAACTGCTGTTTTCTCCACTGCATTAAAGAGGGGTTTTTTTCTTTTTTTTTTTCCATATACATTTACACTACAATCCCTAGTTGGCAGTACACCATCACCTTAACCAGAAGGGATCAATCTTTCATCAGGAAGACCAATTAGTGCGGTGATTTTCTGTACCTTAACTTCCTCAAATCTCTGCAGTTTGAAATCTGCATTACCTGGAATCTAAGTTGCAGCTGTAAGATACATTTTGTCACGGATTTTTTTCTGTGAGTGTCTCAGAGAAGCCATCTTAAAGGATCTTTGGCAAAACGTTAAATTATTTGCTAAGTATACAACAAGCATACCTTGCTTGTTCAGGGATAGGTTTCTTCCGTGATTTTTGTTAATATCTTTTTTATCTGATATTTGACAGCCTACAGGTTTAAAAAAACCCACATGAGTCAAGCATTAATGAGTAGTATTTCCCATGTACAAAGACTATTGACCATAAAAATGCTTTATAGCCAGGAGAAAGACGACGGTTCAAACACAAAATGCTCTTACTATATGGGTTTCACAAGGATCTGGATATTGGCCTCGCTACACATTTCAGCATTTTTATATTGACGAGAATACAAGAATTGATGTATTTACCCATTTTAGTAGTCTGACTTTTGATGGCAACCTCATTTTGAGCTGTAGTACAAGTCTTGTGTGCACGTCTCACCGTAGCTACTGTGGAACACAGGAGGGTGATGTCAGACATTTCTAATCTAACCTACTAAACTCCTCAATACAACATGTTGGTCATTCCAACTCTGCATTCTTACAGTGTTCAAAGTTTTTCTTGCAATTTTGTGCTTTCTGGAGTTAGTTAGTTAATTAGAAGCACAGACCGTCCTGAGTGGAATGGAAATACAAGATCATTGAGCCCGGCTCCTTGCTCCACACAGGGCAGTCCAAAATCTGCCTGAGAGCATTGTCCACACGGTCTTTGAACTGCTGGGCAGCCTGTTCCATGCTCACTGCCCTCTGAGGCAGAATCTTTCCCTGACCCTCCTGACACATCTCCATGCCGTTCCCTCAGGCTGCTCTCACACAGAGCAGAGCTCAGTGCTGCCCCTCTGCTCTCTGTGAGGCCATCAGGCCTCCCCTCAGCTCCTCTGCTCTGTGCTGAGCAAACCCAGGGGCCTCAGCTGCAACGTGTAGGTCTTGTCCTCCAGACCCTTCAGCATTTTTGTAGCTCTCTTTTGCATGTTCTCTAATAGTTTTATGTCCTTTCTCGTGCTGTGGTACCCAAACTGCACTGTGTTTGTGGTGAGGCTGTATGGTGGGGCAGCTCCTCCCCTGTCCAGGTGGCAGTGCTGGGGCCTGGTGCTCCCCAGGGGATGCTTAGTGCTTTGGCACCAGGGCACACTGCTGGCTCAGATGTAATGTGCTGTCAGCCAGAACCCCTACATCTTTCTGTGGGGCTGCTTTCCAACCTCTTGTTCCCCTGTCTGTCTGTACATGTATCTAGGGCTGCTCTATTCCATGTGCAGAATACAGCATTCAAAACCTTAAGTTTGGTTTAAAATGCACTAAGTCTGAAACACCCAGTTCAGATTCAAAACCCATATAATATTGTTATCTGAGTACTTAGGAGAGAATAAGTTGCTTAAATGCCTATTTGGAAGTGTATAATTTGCCTGGATGTGTCTTTTACCACTATTTCTTGTCATGCATCATACAGAGCGGCCAATTTACAAGTAGCTTCACAAAAACACTGAATGACTCTTTATTTCTAGTTACATAATATGTGAGAAGCACGTCTCAGAAATCTTCTTGGAAACATGTATAAACTGTGTTGCTTTTTAGATCTTAATGAAGAGTTTGAATTAGAGATTTTTATCTTTTTGAATGATCCTTTTTCCTACTGGCTTATTTTATACTGCATCTAGTCAGAAGCACTTTTTTTGCTTTGTATATAGTTTGACTTTACGCATTCAAAGTGATGTATTGAACTTGTTCAAGTGCTTTCAAGACAATTGACTACTATCACGTGGCTGTTTAAAGATGAAAAGTAAATAGAAAGCTAAGGTGAAGTCAACTGTTTCGGATTGAGTATGAATTCTTGTTCCGAGAAAATAATTGAAATAATATTTTCATGATTAAATTGATTAATTCTGTATAACAAGTCTGTTGAAGGTTTTGGCAAACATGATACTTGTGCTGTGTGAGTGACCATCCTATCCATATACAAGCTGTACAAATCCAGTGCATTGGCTTCATATTCATTTCCTGGATGTATCCATGAGATTAAAACACTAGCTGTTGGCCTGGAAATGTAAATATATAAATGTAGTTGGAAAAAGTGTAAAGATAGTAACGCAAATTTCATTTCTAAGATTAAGGAAATAGTAATAGGAAATAATTTTGATACTCTTCCTCAATTGATTTCTATTTAATATATACCTTTGCACAATTAAAAATATAGTGAAAGAGTTTTCACTCTGATAATTGAGTTCATACTAGAGACTCTTATTCTATTGTACAGACATGTGTGTGTATCCTCAGTGAGTTCATCTGCTGCACTGATCTCACTGAACAATAACTTTAGGAGATTCATCCACTGAACTTGTATGTACTGGAAAGGCAGAGGATTAACAGTTGATCTGCTGTTTTCTTTCAGCATAGATTGGTTCTCTTCAAGTAAAGTTTCAGGTCACTTCTAGGGCATCATTTCAGGTAAATGAGCACTCATTTTATTAGCCTCTCTGGTAGATAAGAAGGTTTCAGTTTTAATGAACGCAAAATCAAATATTTGACAGAAAGTGAAAAGCAAAGACCGGAGGTATATATCCTAAAGTGAGAAAGGGAGGAGAATAATGAGTTTGAAAAGAATAAAATGCAGATTGACTACTGGAAAAGAATGCTACAAAGGTCTCTACGTGAATCTTTGGTTCCATGAGTTTGCCAATTCTTTTTATTGCTATTTCAAGTAGCCAGGTACATATGGCATGTTTGTAAGTAAAGCAGTCAATGAAGTTAGTTACACCTCTGCATTTATTACCTTACCCCTGAGTATTATTAACTTTTACATTCCCCATAAAATATAATTTATCACTTAAATAATTTGCTTTGTGTCAGGGTTCAGTGTGCTCCAGTGCTTTCCTGCTCATTAAATGAGATATTTTTACTTAATGAGCCCAGAATGTCCTTTGCATTTAACATTAGAATTGATTTCAAACACTCCATTTTTTATAACATATTTGTGTGTAATTTCAGAATGTGGACTTCATCCCATAGTCTTACACTGAAGAAAAAAGAGCTACAAAGAATAATGATCCATGGATTCTAGAGAGAGACATGGTAAGTATGGGTGAATAGTTAAAAAAAAAAAAAAAAAAAAAAAAGAAAAGAAAAAAAGAAACCAATGCCTATTATCTGCCTTCACTTTACATTCTTGGTACAGTTTGGTTTGAAAGTTTGCTGCAGTTACTATACACAAAACTCTTTCAGAAAAGTGGTTTTTTTTGAAAGTACAGCAAGATACTTATTGCCAGGAATGTAAAAATAATCCTATCCTTTTGTGATGCACTCATTCATGTAAAAGGTATTCATTCAAAGATACACCATTTACATATAGATATGTATCTATAGGACAGATACAGCAGCACACCAGTAATGTACCTGGTCTGGTGACTCAGATGCTCATGATCCATGACAGTGTGACAAGAAACACTCAATAAACAATAGTAAAACTAAAATTTAATCACATAAAAATCCTAACATTGTAACGTAGGTATTTTTTTGTTCTCAGTGAAAAGTGGGGAAAGAAAACACCTTGGGGAATAAGCAGAAATAAACATTGTTATATTTAACTGAAATTACAACTTTCATTTTCAGACTGTTCTTAACCATAATTAAGCCTCACATACATATTTTTCCATAGTTGTACTCTCTTACCTGACTAACAGCTTGGGTCTCTCACTCTGTTTCCCTGGACCAGGTTTCTTTACCGGACTTTTTTTCTTGTAGGGCACGTGCAATTGTCCAGCTGCTGTGAGTCAGCTTGGTGTGGTGGAAGCTTATGATGTGAGATGTGTGGTGGTTACCATAGCATACAGCAAACGAAGGTGTGCAAGCATGAGGGAGCTAACACGTCCCCTAACAGCAGGTAAGTGATTTGTGTCTGGGTGTTGCAGATCAGTACCTTCTTCGACACACCATCGTGTTTGCCAAGGAAATCTCCAAATTCTTATCTGGCTGATAGTACCACGTTATTGGCAAAAAGTACTTCATAACAACGAAATATTTTGTGAGACCATATCTTGACTTACAAGTTAAGGAAAAGAGGAACAGTTCTTTAGATGTGGTAACAGGAATAGCATAGTAGTGTAATTATCCGTGAAGGTGCATAAAATATGAAATCTTTGTTTGACACGTTCTGTGAGAAAAACAATCATAAAACCTAGAATCAACTCTTGATTATAATTTAGTGAAGAGTGAACAAGCCCAGGTTACTTATTAACACTTTCTCATAATTGAGCAAGCTATTAAGTGACATGCAGCTCTGATACAGATGGGGGAAGCAGTGTTGTCAGATGGGTGATATATAAGTGAGCATACACTCTTCTTCTGGTGAGACCAGAAGTGACTAAAGCAATGCATCCCCACAGGAAATCTATTTTGCTTTTCCTACTGTCCTTTGTCCATTTTATCTGTTAAAGCTGCAGATAGTTAAGGTTGGTACATATAAAACCTATAACCTGAATTAAGAATGCTCTTTTTATTTTTAATAGTTTGTTTCACTGTAAAATGATAGAGAAGGGAGAGTTGTGTATGTGCGTTTTTCCAAAATGCAGTACTGCAGTTAGTTCCAGGGAAATACTGACACATCATTTCAGATACTTAATGAAACCTACACTGTAGTGTACTGTATATATTGTAGTGTACTTATATGGACTGATGAGTTCTCAAAAGACATAAGGTATTTTTATTAAAAAATGAGAAGAAAAAAAAGTGCTCATTTCAATACAGTTTTAAAGAGGGATGCAGAGATGTTAAATTTTACTTGAATTCTTTTACAAAATGATAATTATTGTTGCCTGCTATTTTTCAAGTTCTAATGCCAAATATTTTAACTTTTAAGAAGAAAAATAGGTGATTTAAGCAAAATATCTAACTGAAATCAAAATTCCTTAAATAATGAATCATATTCTCTCAGGATGAATAATGATGTAGTTGCTAAAGAAGAAAATGGATGTGGATGTCTCAGTGTCCACAGAGCAGAATACACGATGGCTTTGCCTACTTGAGAAATTACTATCTTGGGCTGGCAAGACTTCTGTGAGGTAAGTTTCCTGCATCACTGAGTTAGAGTCATGACTCTGGGACCAGCAGTTACTGTAAAATGACCCCTTTTTTCCCACTTAGCCTGCACCAGTTTTACTGAAAATGAGATTTTTAAGAAAATGCAGGGATCTTTCACAAGGGTTGCTCTTTCTGTTCTTAGACTGACCAGGGCTTTCCATCTTATTGCTGTGTGTACAGCTGCATGTATGCTGTATAGATCATTTTTCCCACCACGGAACTGCCAGCACTGGTTTTTGATTGCTGTAATTGTTTCCGTCACAGTGATTGGACAGTGTGAGTTTAAGATTAGAGAAAGATACAGTTCTTTGTGGAAAGGCTTTGTCAGACCAAGCAAAAGCTGCAACTTACTGCTGGTCACATATGATGTTTTGTGAATCTGTGGTCATTGTCCCTTACGAAAATGGACTTACAAGTGCCCTTTGGCCTAAGTGGAGGATCTTTATACAGGGTTCTCACAGGAAAGTGGAGAGTGCACCAACCTAGGCTAATACCCTGATGTTCCTCTGTTATTTGTAGTCCTAGTCTGAGAGCAGAAATGGTTAAAGAATGGGTAGACATCATATAGAAATGTGTCCCTTATTCTGCATGCAGTGCCTATATCAAAGGCTTCAATACATGCATGTGCAGGCAACAAATTTTACTTAGATTTATATTTGCTTTGTAAATTAACCATTCTTAGTTAAGAAATAATTATGAAGTTTCAGGAGGCAGTAAGATAAAGATGCTTATCAGATTCCTATTGGGAATGGCAGTAAATAGTTTATAGACAGTTCAGTTAACATAAGCTTTCCATAAATAAGATACATAACTCTTCATAGATGTAGACTGAGGCCAAAGGCTCCCTTCACTCTTGGAGAGCACTGACATTAAATTTTTTATTAGTACCCATGATGAATAATGCACTTGACTTCAGTTTTGACTGTAGCATTGAGAGAAACCACCACACATTTCTTCATAAATAGTCAAGTTTAAAACTGGAGAAAAAAAAAAGTTTTTTAAAATTAATTAGTTTTTTTCTGAGTTGCTTTCCTCTTAATGTGTGCACTTCCAGCTCTGGTATCTCTGTTGCTGCCATTTTTTTTTTGTCTACTCGTGGCTTTTACTTCTTTACATTCTGAGGCTTTGTGCTAGACTTCTACAAAAGGATCTTATGTTGTCATTTACTTTGCTCATACCGTGTATGCTTGCAAGCGCACACAGTCTCTTGCAGTGAATTGTAAATGGCAATTCTTAAATCTTCTACATGCTAGAGATCTTCTTCATTCATATTATGTGCTTCTGTGCGTGAGTTCATTTCCAGGATTTGTGCACTCTCCTGTTTTTATAGTCCAGAATTTTACACTTTGCTATGAGTTTTGTAGTACTTGTATATTGTAAAGTTTTCTTTTCAGTGTTCCTATATTGCTAGAGTAATTTCCCTTTGCAGAATTCTAGGCTTCATTTTAGATCTTTCACAGCCTCTTTCTGGGTATTTTGTACCAAATCCCAGACACAATCTAACTTTCTACCAGAACATTAACACTTCCCTCTCTATTGTGAGATCAGTGTAGTTCAGCCTGAGTTCAAATACAGATACCTTTATGTTTTCTCTGCTGTTATTGCTTGCTTGAAATGGAATATTCTTGCAATTGGGAGTGTATTGCATGTAGGCAGATTAAAATCTCTTTTTAACTGCTGCAAGTCTTAAATGATCTTGTTAGTAGATCTTTGCTGAAAGTTGTAATACGGGGCAGACGTTCTTATTGTCCCATGGTCCCAAGAAGCTGAACTGCAGTGAGAAATGCTAACCAGCCTTCAAATTTGAATTTTCTGAGTTATGATACGAAAATTGTCATTTAATTACAGAAAAAGACTCTATAAATGGAACTGGCCATGATGTTCATATCTTAACACTTCGCCAGTCTGCAACTATTTCCTTCCCTTCATGTTATGTGCACAATGCCCCTGTAAGGAAAAGGCGCGTGACTCTTGTTAGGAATTGTAGTGTATTAATGGTATTGGATCACTCATATTTTATTCATTAAATAATATTTGTCAATGTGTTTTTCTATTTTAAACTGTTACTGTAAAAGAGAGCGTTATCACCTCCAAGCATTTGATTCTTAGAGTGAATGCCAATACTATCCAGTCATGCCACAATCTCCTAATTATGCTGAGGGTTTCTTTCTTAACAATGTTTATTTTAGGATGTCAACAATACTTCAGTTAAATGTAGTGTAAAGTGCACTTATTTAGCAAACGTGTCCTTCAGAAAAGGTTTTTTTGTCTTTAAAATGCAACTAGATTGTTTCTTTCTGTCACTGCAGGATACAGTAGAAATCTTAAATCAATAACACTTTATATTCCTACACAACTGATGCATAACTTCCTTCTTCACACAGAGGTTTAATGTGTTGTAAATTAATTATCTGGAATGAGTACATGGCCAATGGACCTTGGTATGACCAGGATGTAATGTTAAAGTGTTCCATTTCCTACTAGCACTTCTCAGCTCTCTTGTTGACTTTTTATACGTGTCAGTTATGCCATCTTCTACAGTTTATTCCTTTAAGTGTTGTTAATGCCCCTCTAGGGCTTGATCGATAGGGAAAATTTGCTCTACCATAAATTTGTCCAACAACTTTCTTTCTTCTTGAGGTGAAGTACCCTTATAAGTTGTAGTTGTGTAATGGTTCTCAGTAAACTGTTCCTACTCTTACAGAAGCTTAAAATCATAGCCTTTATATCATAAGGAAATTACAAAGAGTTTGAATGAGAAAATGGAGGCCTAATTTTTGGCTTTTAGATACCTAAAAATAAATCATCTATGCTTAAGTTTCCAGCAGGAGAAGGTTTGCTTTACTGCTTCTATGCAGCGAACTGCAGAGCTGAATTAAACTGCTGTTTTCTCTGGAAAAATGCAGAGAGAGATTCACAACCAGGAACAGTGCAATTAAAACAGGCGTTCACTGGATTTAAAGTAGTCAATTTCCTTTAAAAATCAGAGAGGCCACCTCTGTTTTTTTTTTAAACCAGCTTGGCTATTAGTTGCTAGGGTAACAAGATCCAAGGTAGAGAATAAGGCCTGTGCATGCAGCACAGAAGTATGTGGCTCTAAGATGAGAAAGAAAAGATGGTAGGAACATTCAGTTATAGATTGTTGCTATTTATTTATTTGTTTATTTATTTATTTTTTTTTGCTGTTAGAAAGGTGGTCAAAATAATTACCTGTTCATAACTAAAAAGGTGTTGATACCACAGCATTTTGTCATCTCTGAATAACAAATGACACTAAAGTATTTAAGCAGCAAACGTGTCTAATCTCTCTGAAAAAAAAAAGTAATAAAATAGAGATGCTACTTAAAACTCATGGCGTGTTGTTGGGATCAATTTATCGTACTGTGCTGTGTCAATGTCACTTTCATAAACTTTTGCTGAAGTGCTTTTTCTACTGTATGTTGAATGATGTTGTCAGGACTGTGAGTCGGGGGTATGGTGGATTCAAGTCTACTTTACTTCCCTTGATGAAAAGGTCACTGCCACTTGTAAATCTCTTTTACTCCCTGCACAGTTGTTAGTGTCAAAGTGTCAGCTCTGTGGGATGTTAAAGTTATACAACTGTGGTAGGAACAATGATCACAATTCCCAGGTGGTATGTCCCAAGAAAAAGTCTCTAATCTCTGTGAAAAAGTTCTTTGTAAAGTTTTTCATGCAGGATTGCCAGCTCACTTTGTATTGATTGCAGAAATAAAAAACATTTCTGTTTCATGTCTTCTATCTGGTAGGCCTTCCCCTTGATGATAGCTCATCACAGGGCCACTTATGTCTGTAGCCCATATTTGCAAGTGAAACTAACTCCTCTGCTTATGTTTTTAAGGCTATGAGGGCTCCAGTTAGAATGCAGTTAAATTTTTGCCTGTGCTGCATTATGTGATTTTGTTATGACAAATTATAATTGAGCAGTACCGTAAGTCCTCACAGTTATTCATAAATTATTTAGGAAATAAAGAAATAAGGCAACTCACCAACAGGGATGTGGGGGAAGGAAGAACCCTATCCCCCTGCAAACCAACCTTCCAACTCAATACAAGCAATACAAATGGTAAAAACCTCAATAAACAGAACTACAGAACTCTTTTTTTCCCCTTCTGACATCATATGAACTGTTTTGTCTGTAAATAAGGGAAGACTGTTATTCAATGGTTTTCTAGTACAAATTGTTGTAATTTACTAGTGAACTGCAGCAAACACAGTGAGAAAAAAATAGCTGGAGTGGCAGCAGAGATTGTGTCCTGAGTTTGATTGATTACACTGACTGTACAGGAGTTGGACATGAAGTTCTTTGCATGTGAAGTATGGCCAGAGCTTTTAGGTGGTCAATTGCCTACTTATCCAAAGACCTCCAGAAAGACGGAGACTTGAGTTTTTTTGTGCTGTGAGGTATTTCCATATGACCTTGCAACTAAATTGATTTTTGATCTGAGTGCAGTAGTTTGCTGCTGAGGAGACAGAACAGGACCTGAAGGGGGCAAACACTGAATCTTTTTGGCTTGACTTTCAGTCAAGGTAACTCACTGGGGTCCTGAAGGTGATGCAAGTAAACACCTGCCAAGTGAATCTTTGTGTCAAGGCAGCCATTGTGGGCCAACTGGGGTAGGCAGCTGTAGGTGCACGTATATCAGTGTGCCAAGGAACCATCAGTACAAGAAGGAAGAGGGCACACCAAGTTCCTGGTTTCATTTCTCCTCATTTTTGACTAGAATATGCTCTTAATCCATTCCTGGATCTGTCTTAGAAGCTGCCTCATGCATTCATTTCAATTATATGAAAACAAAATCTTTGATATGAAGGGTTTTTTTTTGTTTTGTTTTGTTTTGTTTTGTTTTTTTTTACTGTCTGTCTCCTAAGAAAATGAACAAAAAAAAAAGAAAAAGAAAAACCCAAAGTTTTAATTGCTCTGAGGAAAAAAAATCACTTCCATCTCT